TTTCATTTTTATTATATATATATATTATTTTTATTTTTATTTTTTTCTTGTTTCTTATTGATTTTAAATTCACTTCATATCACAACTTCCACATCACTTTTGATTTAAGTCATCTTGTAATTTGAATTTAATGATAAATTTTATTCTTATAAAGAAAAAAATAATGGATATTTTGTTTAATTATATTCATGATAAGTGGTGAAAAATTATAATAAATTTAGAATCACTATGCTATTAAAATTTTAGTAGTTTAATTTCATTAATATCAATCTAATACTTTTATTACAAATGATGAAGTTTATTAATATTAAAATATATATATATATATACCAATGATTTTTTAAAATAATTAAATGGAATAAAGAATGAAGATAGATTAATACTAAGAAATAAATTTGGTGAAGCCAATGAACTTCAATAAGATCAAAAATACGATTAAAAAAAATTGATTAAATGGCCATTATATATAATCATTATCTTTAGAATAATAAAATATTATAATATTTTAAATCATTTTTTTAATCACATATTTATGTATTATTAGACAATCTTAATTTGATAGACATACATATTTACTTCAATAATTACCTATATAATATGAATAAGTAGAAGTAGATTCAAGTAGATAAATTTGTTAATATCTTGAAGAAAAGCTTTATAGAAGCTTCATAGATAGGGCTTTGACTTTACAATTATTTATAGTTGATTGATAGGTTAGAAACTTGGCCAAAAAGTTAGCCACATGTTACATGTATTGATAGCTTGTGCTACAAGCTAACTATGTAGTCCACATATAGAAAACTTGCTTTACAAGTTAAGATATGTGTCTTACAAGTTAGATACCTATTGTAAATCCTATAGAACATTGTCATGTAGCTTTTAGTTAGATAGTATAACTAAAAGTGAAGTTTTTTTCACTTTAGTCAATGCCTTTCTAGTCATTAGTCTTGTTTCAAGACTTTTTAGTCTATTTATTTTTGGCAATAGCTATTCTAGTTTATTTTTATACCATCTTTGAATGATTTTCTAGTCTTTTTGACTAACAAAAGAATGTATTGATCTTTTAATCCTTTGAGATTCATATCTTTGACACTTAGTACATTATAGAATAATAAAATTTTATATTAAATACTTATAGGATTGTAAGTTTTGATAAGAGTTTCAAATTGACTAATTTGTTAATTTTATCCAGTTTAAATAATTTTACTCTTTAGAAATCTAAAGTTGAAAAATTAACTAACTAAAAAATCTCAATTAATAATTGTTGCAAGCCAACAAAATTTATCAATTTTAAAATTTCTAATTGAACTAACTTGCTAATTTCTATTAAGAGTTATTTCAAATTTTAACAAAAAATTAAATCTAAGGTTATTAGATTAATTAAATTATTAATTTAAAATTAATATTTCTTCCAATCATCTAATATATGAAAATTTGAAGATTGTCAAATCAACTAATTTTCCAATCTCAAATAATAGTTTCTACAAATTTGTACATATTTATAAATTGAAGAATATCAAATAAGTCAATTAATAAATCTAATTTGATAATTTTTGCAAGCTTATAAATATTTTTTAGATCCAAGATTGTCTAATTAATCATTTAGTCAATCTTAAACAATAATTTTTGCAATCTTAAACTATTCTTGAATTTTGATACTTTTTTAGATGTTTTATTTTAGATTTTCAATAAGAAGTGGTAATAATTTGCACATAATTTTAATATTAAAGTTGTAAAAATTATCAAATATTCAAAGAATTTATATAAATATTTGCATCAATTTTAATATTTATTATTTAAGTATACTTCTAAAAAAATCCATTTTTATATTTATCTTTCTTATAATTTATTTTTTATAAAAATAATTTTTTTTATTAAAAAAAACATTTTATATTATTGTGTCTTATATCGAGATCTAAATTAAATATATAATTAACTTGAAATATCTATAAAAAATAATTATAGATTTTTTCTTCTATAAAAAAGATAATTAAATTTGATTTAAATTTTTAAAAAGAATTATAAATACTACTATTAAAAAATAAGAAAAATAATGAAAGCCTAAATAAGCTTAAATTATTTTTTAAAATTTATTTTTTTACAACATTTCTACTCTACCATTATAATTTACTTCTTGTGTAATCATTGCTTGCATATCTCAAATTTAAAATCTTCTATAACCTTCACCTTTGAGAATTTTTATGCCATAAATATAATCTTAACTTAAGACAATTAAAGTCATAGAAGTTCTTAAATAAAAAATTCTAATATAAAAACCGACTAAAATCAATTAAATTATTTTTTTATTGAAAAAATCAAAGACTTTTGTGACATAACTTTTCATAATTAAAATTTTATAATTTATTTATTTTTAAAAATCCTTTTTAGTGAAAATTTTGCAAAAATACCATGTGATGATGTTTTTTAATTTATTTATTTCAAAGACCGTCCAATTTATTTAGATTTTTTGTTTTCAACCCGAAAAAAAATAAAGAAAAATTCATTACATTGAGGTAAAAACATCATCTAATTTGAAAATATTTTATAAAAAATCTAGCTTTTGGAAATTTAAATTTTAATAAAACGACTAATAGGAATAAATGAAATCATATTATAAAAAAGTAAAATAAATATACAATCAATGCAATTTTTTGTAAGTTCAAACTAAGGGTATGTTTTGGCCAAAATTAATAGAAACAAAGATTAGATTTATATGTAGAATATTTTTTATAGAAGATTGAAGGTAGGACCTAGCACACAAAAAATAGACACCTAAAATAGAAATAGTATTTGTTTTTAGATTCGTTTTTGAATTTAAGAGGTAGGTTTTAAAAGCATTTTACAAGTGTATAATTTAAAATTTTATAGTATATAAAAGTACTTAAAAGAAGAAAGAAATAAGAAGTTTCAAAGATACTAAAATTTTATGCAATTTCTGGCTTTATAATCTAAAATCTAAGATTGATCTAAGATAAGTTGTTTTTGAATATGTTACTATGCAAATAAGCAACTTAGTTTTTAATTTTTATACAATTATACCAATTCAATTGCAAGATATTATTTTTCATATATAAGAGCAAGTTTAAAAGAATTAAATTAAGATTAATTATTTATTTTTAGAGATTTAAAACTTAAAATACTAGATGAAGCATATTTTATGAAATGTTAATAAAAGACACAATAATAAAAGCATATATAAAGTTTAAGTAAAATTTAACGACTAAGTTATAAGATACAACTAGTTGAATTCTTGATTAATCTTAATATAGGAAGTCAAGTATTATTGGAGGTTTTTTTATATTATATAGGTTGAACATTTCTTTATACTTATAAGCTTTTGTAAGACATACAAATAAGTTAGTAAAAAATATAATGCTAATTTAGAAATACAATTACAAGTTATAGTCCACTAAAGTTTGAAGCTTAAAAACTTAAGTTTTTTTTAAGGATTTCTTAAGATTTAATTAGTATTTATTTAGGACATTATTAGGAAATTTAATTATTTTTTATTATTAAATATTAATTTTATTATTTAATTATAATTTCTTTAGAAATATTTTAGGATTGATTTTAGATTTTTAGGATTTATTTATGGTTTAATAAGTTTTTTAATATTTAAAATTAAATTAAATTAAATTAATCTTTTATTCTTGAATGGCGAATTCATGAAAAATTTCTTCTAGACTTTGTTAGTGGCTTTAGTCTTTGTTAGGTTTTTCTTATAAATTTTTAAAATTATTTCTTAAAAATTTAAATGAAGATAGGATTTTTTTTGTACTTCTATATGAATATTATATTAAAATTAAAATTTTTTAGCAAAATTGAAATCTCCAATTTAGTGAAGGGTGGTACATTACTTTTGTAGTTTGATAATTCTATCTTGGGAAGCTATAATTGAAGATAGAACTTTGGACCACAAAATAAGATGGACTAAAATAACTTAAGTATTTAATTTTTAGAAAAGATACTATTTAAAGTCAAAATTCTAATAAGCTTAGATTCACTATAGGAAAATCAAGGATAAGTTAATTTAATGTTGTAGAAGAGAATCTATTACCTTGCCAAATTGAAGCATCAACTTTTTGAGGCAATATTAGATGCACCTAAGCAAACTTGAAGGTAAAATTTGCTAGATAAATGCATATTGTAGACACACACACACACACACACACATATATATATATATATATATATACATAGATTATAGGAGTTGAATAGAAGTAGAAGTAAATAGATTTAATAATATCTTGTAGATAAGCTTCTTAGAAGTTTTATAGATCTGGTTTGACTTTATAAGTGTTTGTAGGTGATTGGTAGGTTGAGAACTTAGCAAACAAGTTGGTTAGTATTGCATATGTTGGCCTTTTGTGATAGAAGTTTGCTGTGTTGCACATATGTGAAACTTGTCTTGCAAGTTATATATGTGAAAGATTATGTAACTTATAGTTAGATAGTATATATGGAGACAAAAGTGAAGCTTTCTTCACTCTTGTCAACACCTTTTTTTTCCATAGTCTTGTTTCGAGAGACTTATTCTTTTTTTCTTTAGCAATAGCCATTTTAATTCAATACAATACTATCTTCAAGTGAATATTTAGCCTTTTTGAGTGACACAAGAAGGTATTCACCATTTGATTCTTTGAAATTCATATCTTTGACAACTAAGAGTATATAGATCCTTTGATTTTTTGAGATTCATGTATTTGACACCAAAACCATATCAAATATTTAATTAAGGAATTAGCTTAAACATATTGCTATCAATTCCAACTTAAAGTCAGAATATACAATCCATTTACAAAAAAGTTAGCATGCACATCAAAATTGCAAGGAATAGAAAAAACACATGTATAAATATATATATATATATATATGTCAATTAAAAAGTAGTGTTCTTCACAACAATAGATTACATGTTTCTCAATCACTAATCAATCAACTCAAAAAAGACAATATACCATTATATTCTATGCAACAAACAAATGCCTGTGGTCTGGAACTAAAAAAGAACATAATAATAATAATCCAAAATCACTAAATCTTTATACATTTGGATCTTGTGAGAACTTGATATGTAAGAACTTAACTCCATATCATTGCTACTAAATAACATTTTCCTATCTTTAAGTGGGAGGTTAAAGCCCAAGTTCAAGAATCAAATAAGAGCAGCCAAATTTTTAACTGATTGACTCCCTAATCCACAGCAGTCGAAGAGACTGAATCTGCTTGGGCAAAAACAAGGCTCCATCATTGCATAGTTTTTGCATACACTGCAACCGTTATTTGTTAATGATATCACAAGCTGTCAACCGGCTCAAGTTGTCATCTACAAAAAGTCCCACATAGAAGCAAAACAGATGGTTTTATTATAGAATGTTCAAGCTTCTAGAATCGAGATATGTCACGGCCAAAAATAAAGGTGGTGAACCAGTTGAACGCCACATACAGACGAGCTCGCCAGCTTAGAGTTCGGGTCAAGTAAGCAGATCGCCAAATGATCCAGCTCTTGAACCCTGTCAGGGAAACACCAGTCGCCTCAGGACTCTGCCTCAAGTCCACTAAAGCTTTGTATCGCCCAACGGAGGCCATGCTTCCCAGATGCTTGTAAACAAATGGGTCGACCACGAAAGGTGTACCAGCTCCTGCTCGTCCGTGACCCTGTTTCCCCAGCTTGTTCAGAGACTCCCCCAGGTACTTGCCTTGCCTCTCTGCCACTTGTGCCAAAGCGGGCAATGGGGGCTTGCCAATTCGCTCAACGTACCCAGCGCAATCGCCAAGAGCGTAAACATCATCGTGAGCAGGTACTCGCAGATAATCATCAACGCCGATCCTCCCCCCCTTTGATTTCTCAAAATTTTCAAGGCTTTTGATGAAAGCAGATGGACCTACGCCTGTTGACCATACAAGAAGCCCGTAGGGTACCTCATTTCCGTCGTTGAGAATTAGTTTCTTCGGAAGGACGTGTTTTACCATTCCCCGCATCAGCTTGACTCCACTCCTCTTCATCTGGTTAGTGGCATATTGACGGAGCCTCACATCAAATGTATTGAGGATCTCATTTGCCTCTATGAGAGTCACGTGGATCAAGTCCTTGGAATGTGAAAACTTGCGTTGGACATCACGCCGGATGAAGTCGCTGAGCTCACCGCTAAATTCCACCCCTGTGGGACCACCTCCAACCACTACACAATGGAGAAGCCTCTTTTTCTCCTCCGGGTCTTTCCCAGGAATTTCTGAGAGCGCGAGGTTGAGCAACATCTTGGATCGGATCTCCATTGCATTCCTCACGTCACGAAGAAAGAGAGCGTGTTCGTAGACACCATCGATGCCAAACGTTGAGGCCTCTGCACCTGTTGCAATGACTAGCTTGTCGTAAGCAACCTTGAACTTATCTCCTCCTTGGTGACCAGCATGCTCGTCAAGGACCGACTCGCAGTGTACTTCATGGTTGTCAACATCGATATGTGTACATTTAGCGAGGAAGTAATAAGAATCAGGATTTTTCGCAAGGGCCGGCTGAATTGTCCTTACTGGCTCCGCTACGGAGCGAAACTCGAGAGTTCCGACACAAGTAGATGCCAGCAAGGGAGTGAACACCATGTGATTGCGAGGAGAGACGCAAACTATGTCGTAGATACGACTGTCAAGATCCTTCAGAAGACGACAAGCTCCCCATCCAGATCCCAGTACTACAGCGCGTGGCTTCTGGTCTTTTCTCGTAGCTAACAGACCGGGGAAAGTAGTTGTGCCTATTACTGAAGCACTGTTGTCCAAATCCTTGTCAGATGCCGATCCTGCTGCAGTGCTAAATCTAGGGTAGAAAATGGGTTCGTTGTGCAGGAAGGAGGAGCTGGATCTCGCAATCGTGCGTATGAAGCTGGAATGGTAAAGATTAACTTGGTTCGGTGTTCGAAGAGGTAATGATCCTTGAGCATTCCATGCTCGAGACACTGCTGCATACATTGCTCTGAACCCATCCTTTCCCTTCATTTTGGACCTCTAAATTGGCGAGCAATCGATAAAATGTCTCTTCTCTTGACGATCTTCAAACGTTCAGTAACTGAGATCGCAGTCTTGGAAGACAAACCAGAAACCTATATCTACCGAAAGATAGAAAATTTCAGGTATTCTTAAGCATCGCGAAAGTAAAAAATGACATATACTCGGGAGGATCAGAATGAAATAATTGAAAATCAAAAGGAAATAGAATGGTCAAATATGAGCAAAGAGTGGAATTTCTAACAAAACAGGGGAAGAGAGGAAACAAAATTGGTCTTAGTCACAGTGATCCCGACTGAGAAGTTGGGATTGGATCAATTCACTGCTCCTTTGCAGCAACAATGATTCATCCCTAAAGAATCTGATAATGTGTGAAGAACTCAGATCTGCCCCTGGAGAATGGAGCAAAGCTATAACGTTATGGGTGCCGAGATGAAGTGAATAGAGTAAAGAAAAGGAGGTTACTCCATAATCTCAAACTAAATAACCTTCACATTTCCCGAGAAAATTCAAGAAACCATCGAAGCGAATCTCCGAGGACCGCAAATTCAAGTCACGCATAGACGATCTCCAATGATCATAACAAGGGAACCTATGGAGCGATTGAACTTCATTCTGACACAAGTAGTAGAAACGGGAATATAGAGTCAACTTCAGATACTACTCTTCTCAGACTTCCCTCCTGCCATTTCGCAAGCTCACTCACCACCCACAACCTACCAAAAATCACTGTTCACATTCACTTCTCTCACTTCACCATACTCAACCTTCAAGTCAAACTCCCCGCCAACCAGCCCAACAACCAAATCAAAGCCACCACTATGCTACAATGACTTGCCTGAAATTGAAAATCACGCCAAGCCCTTGAACGCAGGGAAGAGTTCTCCACATACGCATAACAACTCGGAAGTTGACCCAAAACACTTTCAACCTTGAACCCGCTTGTGAACATGGTGGAAACTAGCGAAGTGCCAAGTATGTTGCGCAAACAGACCTCGAGGAGCATGAGAAAGGTAATCGGGCCAAGTAGACATGCAAGCTCCACCTCAAAGGTCAGAAAGAACGCGCAAGAGCCTAAGGCACAGTCGCAAGGCACTTGGCAATTACAGACAGCCTTCATAGTATGGATCCGCACCAACAAATAAATTATTGTGCAGGAAGGACCTTCAAAGCGACCAATAATAGTAAGAATATCTTATTATAGCCCTTAAAAGTAACTTCCTCCTCTCTTTCTGGAGCTTTGTCGACAAAAAGCCATCTACGTGGTATCCAGTACTCTAGAGGGTGATATACCCGGCAGCCCACTTGCTTCTTACGGGACTTCAGACCTGAGAGTCCATGCAGTGTTTCTTTCGAGAATTTCAATTCTGGTTGCAAAGTTGTGGAGGGAAGAGGATCATGAAAGTGCGAAGGGCAGTATTTATCTTTTGATCTGTGTAGTTTCGTGCTGCATATGCTTTAGGGTTTTTCAGAAGAGATAGCCTATGAATTAGGGTTAGTGATCATCGATCAAACGACGGTAACACTATGAGTTGAGGAGATCATAATAATATTTTCGAGTTATGCCACGGAGAATTGCAATGTCGGAATTGGGCGATGTTCAGCGCTTTAATCTGTGCTCCATATCAAGCACCCGTATTTCTGATTTTTTTCGTAAAGAATTCTTGTCATTTGGAGTGGTTCTTTCCATTGAACTTCCACTCATGGACATATATGGCGAACCCGAACTTTGCCACAACCGAGCAAGTTCACTTCGCGAATGGCGAGCATGATTTACTTTCAACAGTGATAAATCAATGTGTTGCTTCTGCGAGGGACGGGGATGATTACAATTCAGATAGTCCAGAAGCCAGTGTAAGTGTTGCAGATGATAGTATCGATCCAATCACAGAAGCCAGGGAACAGCTCATGGCCGCCAACCCACCTTTAACTGCAATAGGTGAAAGTTTTGTAGGCCCTGTTTCAACACTTTCTGAAAATGAAGAGGGTTTCGCTAAGAATCACGATCGCGATGGGGCCAATTTTCAATTAGCTATCTACATAGCAATGGCTCATGCTGGGCTGGTGCTCGCAACAGCCATTTGCTATGGGGTCTGCCTATTGCTAAAGGACTACTGGACGCCTATCCATTGGGCTATCTTGATCTCGATGCCATTGCACCGAATACAAGCAGCTGCTTTCGAATTCTGGAAGCGACCTTTACAGTTGGGTTTAGCTCAAGCCTTCTTCGCCATCCCTGCTGCGATGCTTTTTGCGTTGCTTGATACCGTAGAAGATATTCGCGAGACATTTCGAGCAATTTCAATTCGTGACTTTGCCCCAATCTCGGACGACGCAAAATTCTATAAGCTTTTTCAGTGGCTTTTCTTCCTGTGGACTTGCTTATTATGCTACGAGTATGTAGGGCTAGTGTATATGATAGCTGTTGCATGCGTTGCTGGTGCAACCTACCGGATGTTACACGTCGTACATTCCATCGTGACTGCAAAATATACAAATTGGGTTCCTCAGGCACATGAGCATCGCGGCAGTGCTGCACAGCTATTATTTTTCACTGTTCATGCTAGCAGGTTTGTGGCATTCCACTTATTCCTAATAATATGAAACAGCAACATTTTAAATCAAGGGCATTTCAAATCCATCAATTTTTCATACTGGAACAAAAATAGTATTGGTTACCTCTCACTTGTTTGTCGACCTCTTTTTGCACATTTTTAGGCCATCATGCTAAGTGCATTTTGCTATAAATGGCTGTACCTTGGTGAATTTAATTCAATATCTGCAATATGGTCGAATATTGAAGCTTCAAAGATTAGGTTCATGCAGGTGGAGCAATCGAGGACTAGCACAGACATTGATAAAGAATCTTTCCTTCCTTGTAGCTCTTCAACTTATAGTTTCAATGACTTTGGTAATCCTAGGAGGTACAATTTTGTTTTCATTCAAAGTAAGTGTTGAAACCAAGGATGCCGTCGACGCTTTGAAGTCCAATTTGGAGGCGGGAAAAAGGTTTTCAGATTGGCTAGGAACCAGCCCAACTTCTCTCAACATCGACAAATACATGATGATGGCTTACGACACAGTGGTACAGAGGGTAATTCTACTAGACCTAGATTAACATGATTCTCAAGGTTCTCTATTGATTCCTAAATGCATACGAATTTCATCTGAAGTTATTCCTTTTTTTTTTTTTTTTTTCCTGATAATCTTAAGTGAAACGTGGATTTAGGTTAACGATTATGCAGAGGAGAGCAACATGACAACCGTTGCACATGCTGCAAAGGAGTTTCTCGATGTAATTGCTTACAATGGTGGCGGAAATCCAGCAACCGACGATAAGTCCAGTTTTTGGGAAAAATTCATGACAATAACCCATGTCTTTGCAGTAGGGTGCAGCTCTTTTACTTCACGATTGGTGTTTAATGTTGATTTCAATATGACATGTATTCAGAGTGCCAGTCTCAGAACGTCTGTGGGAACAACTTATTTCTTAATACGACGTCTTCTTTGATATTCTGTCATTGTCAAGTATTACCAGTACATTCATTTAGCTTAGGTGGTTGATGGTTACAGGAGAAATTTGGAGGCGGTTCCATGTCAGGAAGCTATAGTATTTTAGTTGGACTTGGTACAGATGTAGCCAACTTCGTCAAACAAGTTTTAGTCTTTGTAGCTATGCTGTTTTTCCTAATCACATCGGAAAATGGCGGTGTAATGGAGCAAGTTTTACACATGATTCCACTCTCAGAATTGACTCGTCATAAATGTGCGAGTGTATTGGACCGGACCATCAGCGCTGTTCTTGTAACTACGGGTAAGCTAATGCTCTTTCAGGTTCAAAAGCGTTTCACATTTCTGCAATCCTCTGCTTCTTCACGTACTCATATTGTTTAAATTGTACTGTCGATCATTGTGTAGTGCTTTCCTGCATTGTACTTAAATGAAGGCCTTGTTTTTCCAGGCCTTGTTCACGTATCTCCTCTTCAGGTTCTTAAAAATCCACTTCCTGTACGTTTCAACATCCATTGCTTTGGTGAACGGATTGATGCCTGTTTTTCCTAACTGGATGGCGTCTCTACCAGCTCTACTGCAGCTCCTGATTGAGAAAAAAATTCTCTGGGGAGTGTCTACAGCAATTATTTATAAGTACGTGATGGACTATGGTGTCACTGAGATTCAAGGGGTTGTTTCAAATCACAACCAGTATCTGACGGGCCTCAGCATTGCTGGAGGAATGACCCTCTTCCAACCCGCAATAAAGGCATGCTATATCAGTCCTTCAATCCAAGTCATCGTGCAATCACTTGGTTTGTGGATGAAGGCATTCAACTAAATTAATTCATGGATTTTGTCTAATTTTCGTTGCTGCTGATTACAGGGTGTGATCATGGGCCCTTTGGTGATGACGGTACTGGTGGCTCTAAGAGACCTATATTCTGAGTTCGTATTGAAGGTTGTCACAGCTTACCAAGGTTCTGAAACACAAGTGAGAGATCACTGATTTTATTGTTGAAACAAAGCAAATTTTTATTCTACAAAGTACGAACACTCGTTCAAAATCTGGAATATGATATTCAGCATTTTCCGTTGGAGGAATGACTTGAAGGATTCGTAGAAAATGGGATAGTTCGGGAAAGTGAAATCTTGTCGATGTCAATGTAAAAAATAGTTCTACCGATTGTTTTACTATCAACCTCTACAACTTCCAAACTAGTGAAGCACATACTTTTCTCTGGGTCACACAACAATCTCATCATTCAGAGGGAAAAAATCCAAAACAATTGGACTATTTACAGCTATTTCGGTAGCATATTCTGGTTACCTCTCTTCGGCCTCTCCAGCCCTCGAACCTCGAAGGTCACTAAACGGTAGATAAAGTTGGTAACACGAACCACTGCAAAGCCCACGAACCAATTTTTTTTATTTGTCACATAATTTGCAATATATGCGTTTCCAGAACCGATTGCAACAAGTTGGCCGTTCAACTGATCATAGCAGCGTGGAATTTTCTATCAAAACCAGATAGTGTGAAAGTGGAAGTCCAAAATCGATGGGTATCTAAAATCACCAACGTCACACCTCGATTGCAGAACTTAGCGTGAAACAGAACTTGCCAAACTCACACCTTGCTTTCAAAGGTCTTCACAAAGTTAAACAAGGGGCCATTTCAGCTTTGTCCTGCCTTCTTTTCTGTGCACTTTAGGGTTCTGAGTTAATCAATGCACACGGAAACGAGGTATTTGAAGTAGCTGCAGGACACATATGTTCAGAGCCGCTACAAACCGAGCCTCATTAGAAGTTGATGTGTGTGAGAAAAGCGCTGGCTAAAGTCTGAATGCATCGATGCAGCTTAGAAGGAGCTCTTTTCATGGCTTGCAGTAGGGAGGCTCTCAATTGTTGGATTGTTCATCATGGCTCCGTATAATGCTAGTAGTTTTCATTTACATGAAACCCAGTAAGGGGAAGTATTCTATTAGTATCAGCTTTGTGGCATAATCCTGATGAAAGATATTTCTTTTAGTGAGTGGATGTGATCACTTGCCTAGTCAAGGCCGGCCGTCAAGACTAGTCAATGAAGGTGCTGACCCTCCGACCTGATATTTCAATAAACAAAATGAAAATAAAAATAAATTAAAAATAAAATACTCAATTGCACCAGAGAGTACGTTTATTTCACACTTCCTAGCATATGAAGCTCATTGTGTTATCTTGGTATGCAAATGCGATTGTACTTGGTGACTTCAAGTTGTTGAAATTTTTCTTAAAAAACATCTGAATTTCATAAAGAATTTCTTCAAAAGCAAAAGTTATTGAGAATTATGTTATGTCATATAAGTTCTTACATAGTTTTTTTTTTTTTTAATTTCTAATTTTTAATTTTTTTTATGTAGTTTTTGAAATAAATATTACATAAGCAAAGATAAATTTTAAAAATTTTGGTTTTAAGTACATTTGTTGATTACTTTTTATCAATAAGTGTACATAATATTAATAAGTTAGAAAGTGTTTTGAAGCAACTTAATTAAAGAAATGAAAATGTGTAATTTTTGTCAGTATGAGTTTAAAATGTTAAAAAACACCTCTTTTTTTTTATTATTGTTAATTAGAGTAAAGAGTAACATAAAAAAAAATGTAGTTTTTCTTTGATACTGACATTAGTTACAAGAAAATTGCCTATAAAATTTTAGGATGATGTTCCTAGTATTAGAGCATCATCAACTGTGGCTTTTCTATGTTTGTTATCCACTAGAGTAGTTGATTTATATATGTATATATGTATATATATATATATATATATATATAAGAAACATGTATAAGAATAGAATAGAAATAAAATGGCATGTCTTTATCTTATCATCATCATAAGAGTAATCTTGAACTAACCATGAAAAATTATATAGGTAAAATAAATGATAAATGGTAGAGACAATGATACCATCAAGTACAATTAGGTTACAAAAAAACAAAAATGTCATTTCAAAAATTTGGACATAAAAAATACTTTCCATCTGATTTTAGATAAAATTTATAATAATATAATAATTTAGAAATTAAGATGTGTTGCATAAAGCATAATGCAATTGAAGGTTCTAATAGATTTTTTTTTTTTTTTTTTTTTTTTTGCATTTATAACATATACAGGTTAGTGACATGCAAGAAGGTCATTAAGAACATATTTAGAATTTATAGTTTTTCTAAATGTTGTTGTGATTCTTCTTAAGAATATTAATTTGAGTCTGAGAAGAATGAACAGTACTAACAGTAGAGTACAAACTAGGGACAAGAAGAACATGCTTGAAAGGATGATGATGAACCAAAAATTGGAAACAACAACTTTATAATGCATAGGTGCTACCAACTCTGTTTTGAAGATAGTGATACTGTTGAAAATTCAATTAGGACATCTCAATGCCAATAACTGTCATGCAGAAATAAAAGAATTAACTTAAAAAAGTTGAACCTCTCATGTAGAAGATGCTTGCCCCAAAGGTAAAGTCACAACCTTGAACTCCATGCTTCAGTTAAAAGCAAATGAACAGAGAAATCCACCAAGGTTTAGGGTTCAGCATTCTGATTCTCAGGGTGGATTTCTACCTTGGACTGCCTTCGAATTCTACCTTGGACTGCCTTCGAATTCTACCTTGGACCGTCAGATTGTGACAACGAAGGCGAGAGTTGAGGTGCACAAGGTCCTGGTTCAAGCCACACAGATATTCGTAGAGGATTTGCAGCATCCTCAACAATTTGCCAACGAAAGTGTATTGTCTTTGACTGACTGAGGCACACTTCAATGGGAGCGGTAAGGCGCTGCTGTAATTGTGGAGAACTGGCATTCAAAGTTGCCAGATACTACGGAGAACTCTACCTGGGCGATCTGAAGAATTGCGAAGGATAGATGTCTTCAATTGTGTATGTTGGCAAAGGATTAGAGCAAGAGCTCGTCGTCTGTCTGTAACTGAAACCTCAGCGTCGACAGTCCTTTCTTCTACTTAGATATATTTCTAAGTACAATTGTCTCTCTAATAATCAATCCCCCAGAAACTAATAACTCCCAATAATTAGTTAAAATTCTGGGAAGCAACTTCAACTAGAATTTAGATACCTCGTCTTGTTTCTTGTTTTGATAGTTAACAATTTCTGATATATGTGTATATATATATATATATATATATATAATTGTTTTTATTATTTAAAAAACTTTACTTAAGGTTTTTGTTGCAACAGATTATGTTAATTAGCTGGAAGAGAATTGTATTTGCAAACTCTCTCATTTTTTAAAAATTAAAAAATCTCAATTTTAATAATCTTCTTATTTTGCAAATACATGAATACATAAACTTTGGTATTTTTACAATATCTTAAGAACATACACTTCATATCTTTTGTGTTAAGTTTGGTCTTTATATAACTTGATAACTTTAGATATGCAATGCTTGTAAATATTGTTATATATAAAATACTTAGATTTTTTTTTTTTTTTTTTTTACTACATAATTTTTAACATGACATTAATACAAGAATATTAGTGATAAAATAATTGTGTATACATACCACATTTGCTACTACATCTATCAAAAATCATGACTAATATACCATATATATATATATATATATATATATAAAATATATTACTTACTACCTTACAATATTGCAACTAATATGCATTGCAATTCTATTTTATTGTCAAATATTCAATACAGAGGTTTGTCCTACAATTCTTTTAGTTCTTAAATTTTTTCTAGTTTTTTTAGATCTAAAATTTAAATTGTAAAAGATATATATATATATATATATATATATATAATTTTAATCCTGGTTAAAACTACTTCTTTTCAAGTATCTTAAAGTGTTCAGACTTTGAAAAATACTGATTTATACTTTTGAATATATATGTATATATATTAAATTCTAAAGTATGTAAAAAGTATACTAAATATCAGATTTTGTTTTGAAAACAAAAAAAATGTATTGCACAATTGTTGCAAATTAAATTGGACTTGAAATGCAAAAGATTAAATACTATTTATAAGATATTTTATTTTTTAAAAAAAATCTATATCCTTAAATTTTTTAAAAATAAATTACAACAACAACAACAACAACAATTATATATTTCTTAATGTAAAAAAAAAAAATATTGCAATATAATAATTTTTATTCAAGATGATTCAAGTATGCCAACTTTTAGAGGACAATTGGCTTGTATAAAAGTATAAAATTCTAATTTTGTCTAAGACAATGTCTAAAATCTTTGATCTTTCATAAAATAGAATAATTAAAATAATTCTTAAAATCAATTATTATTTTTTATATTTATTTAATATAGATTTTTTTTTGTAAGATATTATTTATAATTTAAAGATGGATGTTATTAATAGTAGCTAAAATAAGTAATAATTATAAATTAGATAATGATAAAATTTAAAAACAAAAATTACATTATAATAGTTATTATAAAGATAGATATAATTATATATATTATTAAAATAATCAATCAAAAAATAATATTTATATCTCAAAATCTTTATGTGAATGATCATAATATATTTCAACATATACTTTCTACCTACAAATATTAGATATTAGAAGTCAGGTCTTATCTTATTTTATATATTCTACTGTATATATTTTTGTAATATTTATTAATTTTTTAAAATTTTATTATATATTTTTAATATCAATTACTAAAAAAATTAAATGTATTAAATATAAAAAAATAATTTTTATTTAAGAAAACTAAAAAACTAAAAAATTAAAGTTAAAAGATACTTTTAATTTTTTATATCTCTATATTAAAAAAATAATATTCTACAACATTAGATTCAACAATTAATTCAATATAGGCAAGTTTTGAAAAATTATAGATTTAAAAATAAATATTAAATAATTTTAATAGAAAAATAATTCAATAATTTATAAAAACTTTATTTTTTTTAATAACATCTATGTGTACTATAAGTAGCCAATATGTGCAATACTTGGTTAATTTATTAGCAAAGTTTTTAACCTATCAATTACCTACATATATTTATAAAGTCAAATCCATGTTTATGGAGCTTTTAGGAAGCTTCTCCATGAGTGCCATGGACATACATATTTACTCTAATATTTACTTATATGATTAAATAGAAGTAGATAAAAATAGATTTATTTTATAATATTTTTTTAAAAATGCTTCTTAAAAACTTCATAGACATT